CTGCTCGTTCCTGTGTTGTGCAGTCCCTCCGCTCGCTTGCGTCTGTCTTCTCCGCTGCTTCTGCGCTCCCTTAGGCTCAGTTGCCGCGCTCTGTCTCGAGTGTTGGAAGCTTGTCACATGCCAAAAGTTGTTATTCCGTATCGAGGACATCCCAGCTGATCACAGCTCCAGCTCTGGTCGAGCATCACTTCTGCGCGTCCGAGTGCGCACGTCAACCATACTCTCGTCATTGCCAGCGCGGGTTTTTATTTCTCGTGTTGTTCGTCGGCCTTACTTAATGAACAGGACAACCGTGATCGCGTCCAAGCAGAGATAGAAAAGAGGCATATTCCGGTGGGGTTAAATGTTGCTGCGCCGGCATGAGTTCATGGCACCAGGGGTAGACGCAACGGGTGATTCATGACTGTCGGATTTTTGCATCAGCGAGGCAAGCGAGCGGGGAAAACGATGGTGATGGACGCAAACAGGAATCACGAATGGAGGGAGGAGGACAGTGGATAGGCATTACCAATCTGGTAGAGATCTCGGGGGGCACAAATTGCCGCAGAGTGAGATGTCTGTAACCAATAGATATCTTAAGTTAGAAAAGCAGCAACTTTCATGGACTCCAGTTTTTCGTTAGGCAGATATCAGCAATTTATCCGGAGCATTTGTTGGTAGAAGTTTCATATACTTGGACCCCGAGTAATGTTTGAGACAACGCTTGGAGTGTATTCCATGTTCTTAGTATACAGCTCTCTAGCAGGGATGCAGGGGAAGCGTGTGGTTGGTAGTTGAAGGGGCTCGCATCAAGAGGAGGAGGGAAGAGCAGGGAACAGCAGGGAGGAGCAGGGAGGAGGGGCGAGGAGGAGGAGGCTCAAACTTGAGCTGTCCGGGATGAGACTCCAATGAGTATGCAGGAGGAGGGAGATCTCAGAACCCCTTCGCCTTACGACGAAGTGCCCGAACGAGGGTACGAAGAGGGTGAGCAGCAACAGGCCCGTCCACAAGCTCGATACCATGAAACCATACAATATCTCTGCCGAGCACACTCCCCATCATCTCATACCTGCCGAAGGTGGAGAACCGTAGCCACTCCAAGCAAGGACGGGGCCAGCACAGGAATATGGTGGAGATAACCTTGCTGAAGCAGCAGAAGCCGTACATACATCACCGGCCTTGCCGAACATCCTGACGACGGGGCCGCCAGAAAAGCCAGAGGCCTTACCGAATATCTCGAGGACCAAGGCGGATGCCTTGCCGAACATCTCGAGGACGTGGATTCCCAGAGTCTGCAGTATGCGGAGCAACATCATGACGTCTTCCGCCCGACAGATAGCCACCATGGTGCCATCGGCGCGCGGACAAAGGGGGACCACAGGCGATTTCTCCCCCTGAGTCCCCGAGTTCTTCAAAAAGCAGGTCGCTCAGGAAAGGGGGTAACGCCCAGGATCAACTTTCAGGGGAATGTAGGGACGTACAGGATGGACGTCCCCCCCCCTGCGTGTATCCCGGAGTTGGGCCCAACATGTTGTACCCAGTATACAACGCCCCAAAGTCGCGGATTGGGGTCGCCATGCCCTTAGTTTTAAGTGCATAGTTTCGAAGCCATTTCTAACATACGTAATACCTTTCCTGCATATTTGCGCAGGTTCTCTAAAGGCCGCTAGAGGCCACCAACGGCCAAGAAAGGCCGCGAATTGCCACTAGAGGGTGCTAACAGGAGTTGAAGGCCTAGAGGCTGCGAACAACGCATCCAAGGCCGCTGAAGGCTTCTAAAACGACTCGCCAAAGTCGTCAGTGGAGGGCGGGGGACGGAGGACGGAGGCGGGAGGGCAACAAGGGTGCTCTGGCCGCGCCAGGCGGGCCGACCGGAAGGCTATATGGAAGGACCCGAAATTGCAGCGCTTCGCGGCCGAGAAGATCCAGCGCGTGTGGCGGTCGTGGCGACCCACTGCGCTCTCCAGGAGTCCTCCAGCCCTCCTCCCTCTTCTCAGAGGAAGAAAAAATGGTACCCTCCCTGCATCGCTGCCCTCCCATCGTTTTCCCATTTTTGGGCCTCTCAGGAGGCCCTCGTCGCCACCTTCTGGATTCGCCTCGAGATTCTGATTAGAACGCGCCCTGGGAGAGGTCCAGGGAGCAGCGGTATCGGTAAGATTTGGTATCCCCATCCTCTTCCCTCCTGGTTCATCTTCTCGTGTGCTCGATTTCGGTGTTGATGACGCCCAGAGGGTTCCGCGCCGAGTACGGCCGCGGATCTCCGTGGCCGATGCGCTCAGTGCGTGCGCTCCGTAGTGTCCTGCGGTCTCCGCCTGTGCTGCCGGGCTCCTTAAGCCCAGGAAATGTCAAACGGGCCGTGTGCGAAAGACATCCGTATCCGCGGCCTCGCGGGCAGGGCCCCTTGGCCTTGACCCCGATTTTTTGCGGATGCTCCGCGCGGAACGTGTTTGGGCGACCGCGTATTTGCGGGATCGCGCCCAGTTATCCAGTCCGCGAGCGCGCGGATACGGATGACCGCATGCTCCCGATGAGAAAGTAAAGCCTACTCCCCCTTCCCCCCTGTGTCATGATCATCCCGGTCGCGAGCACTTTTGTTCTTTGGTGCAGGGGTGGCGGCGAGGCCGAACTTCATCATCACCGTGGCAAGTGCCAATCTTAAATAATATCTCCGTATCATGAGTAGCAGATCATCATCACCATCATCATCATCATCACCATCATCATCATTGTCTTCGTCGTAGTCATCGTCGTCGTCATCATTGGCAGCATCATCATCATTATTTTTCATAGGCCCCATTTTGGCACTCCCCTCACACGCTTCGTGCTCCTCCCACTCTTGCTGGGAGACGGGTGCATCCGTACACCGTCGACTTCGGATACTAGTAGTGGTGCTAGTGCTAGTGCTAGTGCTAGTGCTAGTGCTAGTGCTAGTGCTAGTGCTAGTGCTAGTGCTAGTGCTAGTGCTACTGCTAGTGAAGGTGCTGTTGCTAGTGCTAGTACTAGTGCAAGTGCTAATGCTAGTGCTAGTTCCAGTGCTGGGACAACTACTATGATTTTTATCTGTCGTACTACGACGACTAGTACTACGACTAGTAGTAGTAGTAGTAGTAGTAGTAGTAGTAGTAGTAGTACTACTACTACTACTACTACAATACTCTTTCTTCTTCTTCTACTACTACTACTACGACTACTACTACTGCTACGGCGACGGCTACGATTACTACGGCTACTACGATTACTACGACTGCTACTACTACTGCTGCGATTCCTACGACCACCACTGCTACGACGACGACGACTACTCCTACTCCTACTACTACTACTACTACTACTACTACTACTACTACTACTACTACTACTACTACTACTACTACGACTACTACTTTACTACTACTACTACTACTACTACTACTACTACTACTACTACTACTGTTACGACTACTACTACTACTACTACTACTACTACTACTACTACGACTACGACTACTACGACGACTACGACGACTACTACTACTACTACTACTATTACTACTACTTCTTCTATTACGACTTGCACAGATATGCGCAGTAGTTTTAGTACCACTACAACGACTACTTGTATCAGTAGTTCGAGTATTATTATTCGTATTAGTATTATTATTTTTAACCATTTGCCACTACTCATTCTACGACCACTACTACTATTCCTATTGCAGCCGCCACTTCTACGATTAGTACTTCTATGATTACTACTACAACTACTAGTGCTACTACAACGACTGTTACTACAACTATAACCTCCTACTGCTACTACGACTTTTACTGCTGCTATTATTTCTGTTGCTATTGTTACTGCTACTACTACGACTACCACGACCACTACACCTACACCTACAACAACACATGCACCAACAACCACGACTACTACGACGACGACGACGACGACTACTACTACTACTAATACGACTACTATTGCTACTATGTACACTTTGTACCACTACTTTAACTACCACTACTACTACTACTACTACTACTACTGCTACGACTACTACTACTACTACTATTACTACTACTAGTACCACTTCCACTACCACTACCACTACCACTACTACGGCGACGACTACTACTACTACTACTACTACGACTACGACTACGACTACTACTACTACTTTTACTGTTACTGCTACTGTTACTGTTACTACTACTACTACTACTACTACTACTACTACTACTACTACTTCTACTACTACTGTTACTACGATTACTACTGCTTCTACTACTGTTACTACTACTTTTAACTACTACCACCACCACCACTACTATTATAATTCAACAACAACAACTACTACTACTACTCGTACTACTATACTGCTACTATTGTTAGTATTACTATTGCGACTACTACTACTACTACTACTACTACTACTACTACTACTACTACTACTACTACTACTACTACTACCACGACCACTACCATTCCCATTACCACCGTTACTACTACTAATACTACTACTACTACTACTACTACTACTACTACTACTACTACTACTACAACTACTACTACTGCTGCTACTACTACTACTACTGCTACTACTACGGCGACTACGACTCCTGGTGCTACTACTACTACTACTACTACTACTACTACTACTACTACCACCACCACCACTTTTACTACTTTTGCTACTACTACTACTACTACTACTACTACTACTACTACTACTACTACGACTACTACTACTACTACTACTACTACTACTACTACTACTACTACTACTACTACTACTACGACCACCGTTATTACCTGTATACGTGTACACCCGTACACTCAGTACATCCGTACATTTTGCATCCTTGCATGCGACTTGCTGGGAACACATTTTCAGTATCCCCCTGGGGATCCCGAGCTTTATTATCTCCTGGGGGTGAATATCGGGGGCACTACGGTATGTTCACCGCTCGTAATCTTCCTCCACCCCCTCCTGCTTATCCTTTCTCTCCTCCCTCTACCCTCCTCGCAGGGCCGCTATCGATCCGATCGATCCGATCTTGATGTCGGTTCCGGCCAGCCCAGTCCGATTCGGTTCTGGTATTCGGACGTCCCGATGTGGCCCGATGATTGTATGGCGTTGTTGTGCATCTTCTCCTAGCCGATCCGACTCGATTTCGACTCCGTGTCGAGTCAACCCGATCCGACGCCCATTTCGGTTCGATCCGATTTGCCGTTTCGATGCCAACTGATCCTGTCTCGTCGAGACGGGGTGAGGGGGGGACGATGGCGACGATGAGCGGAGGGCAAGGAGGGCGGGCTGGAAGAGGAGAAGGAAGAGGGGTGGAAGAGGAGGGGGGAGGAGTGGGAGGACTGAAAGTTAAGTCGGGCATGGCCCTCTACAGGAATAATATTATGGTGGCGATTTTGTTCTCTCCCACTATTCTAGAATATTTTACACTATTTTTGATTATTCTTCATTTTTCTTCCAAAATCCGCCTGTCAGAGGACATGTCCGACCTAAACTTACAGTGACGGCTTGGGGGCGCCTGATGGACCTCATTTCCCAGTGTCACCGCCCTGGGAGGCACGGTGGTCACAAGCGTCCATCGTGATCTGCACTCAGTGTGGGAGGGGTGGGAGGAGGGGAAGGAGTGAGGAGGAGGCGGAGGAGGAGGTGGAGAGAGGGAGGGCGGGGAGGGGAAGGAGGAGAATGGGGTGCAGCATTATTCTCTTGCTCTGGCTTTTCTTGTTCGTTCCTTCCGCCGCCCCCGCCATCCTTCGTGCTGTCTTCTTCATCTCTCCTCTCTCCTCCACGCCCAGCCTGAATAGTTCCCAACAGTGGCCAACTTGGGGACCTCTTCTGAGCCTCTTGGAGTCATCTTGGGGCTCCAATTGGGCTCTTTCCAGAGCCTTTGCCGTCCTCTTGGGGCTCTCTTGGGGCCCGGGCCCTTTTGGAAACTTTCCGAGCCGTCTTTGGGCCATCTAGAAGCTCTTGGCCCGAGGCGGGAATTTATACATGACCACCGCCTGGAGGATCAATTTCGGGGATCTCGGCAGGCGGTGGATATGGACATATTCGGACCCCCGGGGGGCCAAAATACATCCATATCCACCGCCCGTTGGGGCACCAGGACGTCGGTTCCCAGGCGGTGGATATGGATAAATCCCCGCTTCGCACTTGGGGCATCCTCGACCCTGTTGACCCTCTTGGGGCCATCTCGGGGCCTCAGAAGCTTCTCGGAAGCGGGAAGGCGGGAAGACCGTCATCATTGAGACGCGTTTAGCGTTTGCGTGTTTTTAGCCCCTCCAGGGCATCCAGAGAGGCTCCCTGGCCACTGCTGGCCGGAGTAGCGGCCGTGAGACCACGTGAAGGCATGCCCGAAGCCACTTCTATTCACGTTTGACCATCTTGCGAATCCTGGGATCTCCGCGTCGAGCAACTGTGCTCAGACGCCCGCATGGGCCCGACGTGGCCCAGGGGCGGCCGCCATCTTGAGGCCTCGGAAGGCCATCGACAGCGAACAGGCGAGTCTGTCAAACTCGGTGAGGTTCTTTGGTTTTGGATGGAGTTTCGGGTCCTGGCGTTGTCCTGGGGAGGCCCCAAGGCCACTCGGCCAGTCGTGGGGCGGTCTGCAGACCTCTTGGAGTTAGTCGGATACCATCTTGGGCCGTCTTGGGCTTTCTTACTCCATGTTGGAGGTACTTTTTGGCTATATGAGGCTCTCTGGGAGCCATACCCGCCGACCCCCACCGTCCAGACCAGGGGGATGGGGCAGGGGGAGGGGTCAAGACACCCCCTAGATTGCAAGTCATCTAGCTCACTCCCACCCGCCCTCTCAACACAAGTAACACCCGAGCCTCAGCATGTTCAGCGGTCGTCTTTGGATGGGCAGCTAATGGGAACCAGAACCGACCCCATGTGCGCGACACTGGGGCGAGGTGCGCCACGCGTGCCAGGCGCGCCACTCGCGCCGGGCACCCCTGAGGCCTGAGCGTACCAGGCACGCCTGGTTTGGTGCGCCAGATGCGCCACGTGCTCCGCGTGCGCCAAGTGTGCCGCATACTCCAGCCGCGCCAGGTGCGCCACGTCCAGGGCACGTGCAGAGTGTGTCAGGTGCGCTTGCGCACGTGGCAGCACACATCGGGAAACATGTCGGCCCCCACCATCCTTGTCGAAAACCACTGCCCATCATTGTGTCTGGTGGGCCTGCGCACAGCAGGCCATACGCCACCAACCCCGCCGTCCCTGTCAAAGCCACTTGACAGTGATCGCGGGGTGGCCGCGCATTATCCTGATTTAGCCGCGAGGTGCATTTTGTATTGTTTTATGTTAGGGATGGTAGCCCTGTGCACAGCAGGCAATCTGCTGACACCCCCGCCGTCCCTGTCAGAAACAAAACAATGTGTTCGCGGGCCTCTCGAACACGACTCAAGATTTTGCCCCCACATGTACCTTGTATGGTTTTTGACAGGGATGGTGGTTGGGGGGCGCATCGGGTTCGCCACGTATGCTCCAAATGTGGAGGCAGAGTGCGTTGCGTATTGTTTTTTGACAGGGATTGTGTGTTTGTGGGGGGCGATCGTGGTTCCTGGGTGGCCGCAAGTCGCCTGGGGGAGGGGGTGTATACTAACTGGGAACAGTGATCAAGCTCCCCCTCCGAAGGACGGCTGTGTCGCTCACGCCCACCTACCCTTCCGCCTCATAAGCAACATTCGAGTCTCAGCATGGACAGGGGTCGCCATCGACAATCATCGGGAAGCGATACAGACGCTGGCCAGGTGCGCGACGCCCGCGTGCGCCGCGCGTGCTAGGGCACCCCCATCATCCCTGTCAGATATCATTGCAAAGTGATCGCAGGGCGCCCGCAAATCGCCAAGCTTTCGCTCAAACGTGTGTGTGCCCGGTTGTCTCTTGTCTTGACAGGGGTGATGGGCCTGTGCGCTGCAGGCACTCTGACGCCCCCCTCTGTCCCTGCCAACGGTCGAGGCGAAGTGATCGCGTTTGGTGCCCTGGCGTGCTCCAGGTTTTGCCGCAGAGAACACGATGTTTTGGCCCAAGATCCCCCTAGGAGGAGGAGGGGAGGAGGAGGAGGAGGAGGAGGAGGAGGAGGAGGAGGAGGAGGAGGAGGAGGAGGAGGAGGAGGGGGGGGTGAGTGGTGAGGAGGGGGTTGAGAAAGGAGGATGAGGAGAGGAGGAGGAGAGAAGGAGAGGAGAGGAGGAGGGGGGAGGAGGAGGGGCGAGAGGAGAAGGAGGAGGAGGAGGAGGAGGAGGAGGAGGAGTAGGAGGATACTATCCCTGGCTCAAGCTGGCCCACTCGGCCACCGAAGCCAGACGCCAGGTGGGCCCGCCCAGGCCGTGTCTGCGCGACCTCTCTCCGTCCTTCTTCTCTCCGCTACGCCCCTGCGTTACTTTCATTTCGCTCTACACTTTTCCGCGCCCTCTGAGAGGGTTGCCGCGATGGCCGGGCGATGCGCCATGTGCTCGAAGGATGGCGTGGACGCTCCAGCACTTCCCGGGGTCGCCCTCTGTGCTGTGCACGCTGCGGCCGTCGGCGGCTCGGCCCCCGGGTTGGCTGACCATGCGCCTGAATCGCCCGCTGCTGGCGCTGAGGCCGTCGATGCTGAGGCAACCGGCACCATGGACGCAGAAGGCGACGGCACCGGCGTCTCACAGGGCGTGGCGGCCCTGCAGATGGACGCAGCCCCGGCCACTTCCATCGGCTTGCAGACCCCGCTGAACAGCATTGAGTCCTCCCTCCTGCGGGACTGGCTCGAGGACGACGTCCCCCCAGTTCCCCATCATCCAGGCCGCCCAGGACCCCCAGCACCAGGAGGCCGCTTTCACGATGCTTGTTGGTTGGGCTGTCCTCGAGGCTATCCTGACGAGGCTGGGGTACCACGCGGACTCCGATGACCACTGGATGGCCTTCGGGTTCGCCCTGCACGAAGGCCCCGACCCGACGGAGCAGGCTCTGGCGGCACGCCTCCGCACGATCAAATTCCTCTGCTCCCTCGCCTCCTACGGCCAGTGGGCGGTCGCTGGGCCCAAGGGGTGGCCGCCAAGCTCGACCGAGACGCGGAGAAATGTGCACGTGACCTCCCTGAGCTTCGCCGAGCCCGTCGTGCCGTCAAGGCCAGCAGGCTGCCACTGTGGAAGGAGCTCGGCACGGACGCCACGCAGATGCTCCGCGACACCACGAACTTCGCCGACGACACGCTGCTACTCAAGTGGTCCTCCATCCTCATCCCCTCCCTGGAGACGGTGCGGATCCAGGAGGCGCGCACAGTGGCAGCACTCATGGAGAAGGGTGACGTCAAGGTTTGGGAGCATCTCCGAGGCCTGGCTGTCACCGTGTGGACCCCTGCGGACGCCAACGCCCTCGCCCGCCTCGTCTCTGCCCTGCTGCGCAAGGCCGGCTCGGCGGACTGCCCCGTCAGCGCCCGCTTCGTGTCCACCCTCCCGCTGGCCCATGGCATGGACTCCGTGGAGAACGTCGAATCATGGGTTTGTGTTGGCCACCACTGCTCGGTGCGAGGTGCGCCCCCCTGAGGAAGAGCGTGTCCTTCGTGCCTCCCCCTTCCGAGGTGATTCTGCCGGGGCACAGCGGCCCACGCCGCACGAGGGTGGGTCTTGCCGTCGTCCAGCTGTCCTCTACAGGTGCCTGGTCGCCCCCAGGGATCCACGGCTTCAGGCCTTCCATTTTGAAGGTGGACCCGGTGACGGGCCACGAGGGTCGACGTGCTGGCGGATCACCTCACCACCCTCGACGCCATTTTGCGGGATCCTCTGCTGGTAGGCGTGCTTTGCCGTGCCCCCCAGCGCAGCCAGGCGAGCACGCCGGAGGTTCCGAGGGTCACGGTGGATCTCATTTTCCCCTCCAAGCAGCCTCCCGTCACCCATTATCTCCAACTCCGCCACCTTCGACACGCGACTTTCCCCAACTCCACGTTCTTCGGCTCCACGCTCATATATGGCGATCCCGACGCCATGATTCTCGAGTTCAGCAGCCCTCGTGCCCTGCAGCATTGTTGGCCTCTGTGCACGCAGCTCGTGGTCCCGTCAACCTCCACAAGGCCTTGCTCTACTCGGAGGCGGCGTCGGAGGTTGGGAATGAGGCTCTTGATCGTGGTTCGCGGCACGACCCCAGCGCTGCCGCCACCAAGCCGAAGTGGAAACCATCCCGCTCTGGCGGTCGGGCGATCGCCCGGCCTTCTGTGGCGTCGAGTGCCCTGGCTGTGTCCAGGCAGAAGCCGAAGCTCCGCAACACCGTGCACGACCGCATCACGGACATCAGGGTGATGGGGGAGGTGGGGAGGGAGGACGCAGGGGTGCTGCGCCGCATCCTGGCGCACGCTATCAGCACCTCCGGGCTGCGGCTCACGGAGACCGCCGTGGACGCCACGCCAAAGCCTCGGGAGCTCTACCACCTCGCCTCCTGCGACGAGCACGCCCCCCCTGGTCGTCTCCGTTTACTTCTCCGGGAGGCCGAGGAGGTCAGGAAGCTCCATGCCGCCCTCCACGGCCAGACGATGTAGGTCGGCGCGGACAAGATCGCAAACGAGGTCGTGAACAGCGCCTTGACCCGCGGATCCCTCCTGGGAAACGGGGGGCGGCGGTAGTGCACCGCGACGCCGGCGACCACTGCCGCGCTGCCGGCCAGCGTCCAACAGCCTTCGGGGAGCCTGGAATTTCTTGCACGACCGAGCTTGGCGAGAGTCTTTGGCTTGTGGACGTCGTTATCTGGCTCCGTCCCGCTCTGGCGGGGCCGCCCCAGCTGGGCCGCGCTTATTCGCCATGCTCTCCCGCTGCCAATTTCGAGTACCACGACCGTCTACTTCCTCCTCTGCCGCCGCTTATGTTTCAAGAGTGCGAGTTGCTTCCTGCCCGACCTTGTCACGAATGCCTTGACGACGTGCCCTGCGCGATGTATCTACGCCAGCGCCTTCTTCCTGCTGTTGGCTGTCTCCCCCCTGTTGCATTTCCTGCCGCCCCTCGCTCGACGCTGACGCCTACGCCCCCCCTCTCTCGCAGACCAGGGTTGGCCAGTACACCCTGGGCGTCTCTGTGACCCAGTGGAATGTGCAGGCACTGTTTGCCGCGGACCCTTGTGGACATGAGGTGAAGGCTGCGTCTGTCCACACGTTGGCAGCCCGCTCCGACGTCTGCATGCTCGCGGAGACCCACGTCGCAGACGCGGGCAACGCCGCCTGGGACCATGGCCTGGTGTTCCGCCAGTGCCACCGCGGGGCATGCGGGAGCCGGCATATTGGGAAGGCAGTCGTTGCTGCAGCGCTTCTCCAACGTCGCCACGGAGGTCATCTGGCCGGGCCGCGCCTTCAAGCTGAAACTTCGCGGGCCCCACGGCTCCTCATACCTCATCGTCGTGCACTTCCCCGCGGGTGCCGACGTCGCGGAGAGCGACCTCCACGGCGCATCTGATGAGCACCGTGATCGGATGACGTCCTTCCCAGCTTTGCCGGCGCACCTTCCCAGCGCAGCCGCCCGGCTGGCAGGATCTCCCAGAAGGAAGCCCTGACCGTGTTGAGCGGCGATTTCATTCGCGTCTCCGACCCTGGCGACCGCGCGTCGCTCGCGACAATGGCTGCCTCTGGCCGTCGAGACCGGGGCGAGGGAGCTCGCTTTCAAGCTGTCTTGGCTCGCCCTCGCGGCCTGCACGATTTATGCCAAAGTGAACCCACTCACGCGGCTGGCTGTTCCAGGGCCCGCCTGGGCCGTCCGTGCATGCATTTCCGCGCGTCGGACCAGCTGGGCCGCTCCATTCGGGCGTCCGCCCTGGAGTGGCACGCGGACTTATCTGCGCATCGAGCCATCTTCGGTTGTCGGTCCACTCCACAGCGGGCGATGTCGCAGGAGCGCCCTTTGCCAGATCGAGCACTTCGACATGATGATTTTTCCGCGCTTGTTGGCCCTGGACTGCTACGGCAGACTGAACGACCTCCGGGGGCCCCGACCTGCGGCGCGACTTCGGCTCTTCAAGTCTAGCATCAAAGACGGGGTGGCGTCTGGATTCCTCCATGGGCCAAACCCCCCGCGGCCGCCACCTTGGAGGGCCGATTGGGGGTCGCGATGGGGTTTATCAGGGGCGTGGAAAATGGGTGGTTGGGTAGTGTCCCCTCAGGGGCGTGGAAAATGGGTGGTTGGGTAGTGTCTCCTCGTGCTTGGAGTGGTGCCCGGTCATCCATGAGATGATTGGCAACCTTTGCGACCGCGGGGGCAACCTGTCACGGCGACTTCGGAGGGCGAAGGAGCACGCAGTGGATTTGGCCTGGGGGCGCGCGTTGGACGAGCTGCGGAATTCTAGCAGCGACCTGGTGAGCACGGATTCTCGCCCTGTGTCCCAGACGCGGCAGAAGAACCTCCGCCTTCTTCGCCGCCTTGCTCCTGGCAGGGCAATGGGCCTCTCTGCCGTCCGGACGAGGGCTGGGCAGATCCTCGCAGACCCCGCGCTGATGGCCGAGGAGTTGCGGAATCATTGGTTGCAGGTCTTCGCCCCCCGAGGCATCGACTCGGCGCTCCTGGATAACTGGCTGCAGGGGGCGCCGAGTTCAGGGGGCCGCCCGGCGCTGGACAGGATCGGGCCGCTGCCTTCCCGCGACTCCGACAACGATACGTTGCGCGCGCCATCAATCGCGCAAGCAGTTCCGCCCCTGGCCCCGATGGCATCAGCTTCTTGGCTTGGCGTCGCTGCCCGTCTCTGTCCGCCAGTATTCATTTCGACGTCGCGAGGGCCCCCATGGGCAATGGCGATGGCAAGCTGGTGGAGGAGGAGTGGGCCGGCTTCAACGAAAGCTTGTTATTCCTGCCCCCCAAAGCGCCATCAGGGGCGCTCTCTTCTGGGGAAGGGCATTGCGACCCCGAGGACACCCGCTCCCTGTCGGTCGTCAGCTCCTGACAGTCGGCTGTTCGCCAACGCAGTCGGGCATCTCATCGAGCCTGTTGTGGGTCCGAAGGTCACGTGGATCCAGTGGGGCTTCCTGGCCGGGCGTAGCACGCTTGCCAGCGCCGTCGACATCGAAGAAGCCATGGCTACGACTGCGTGTTCGCAGGCGTTGGGTAGGGCGCTGTTGTTCGATTTCGCCGGACGTTCGGGATATTGGGGGGTGGCTGGGCTGGCCCCCCCTGGCTGCTGAACTTCCTGTCGGCGTTGTGCACCTGCAACATGTGCTCCATGGTATTAGGGGCCGCCCGGCACGCAGGATTTTAATATCGGCGTGGAATTCGACAAGGCTGTCCTCTTTCCCCTCTCCTGGTCGCCGTGGCGTCCGATCTACTGCTCCGTCGGCCCCCGCGTCTGGCGCCCTCGGCCGATCTGCGCGGCTGCGCGGGCGACGCGGCCCTGGTGGGCCCCGCGTCATGCAGCGCGTCGCGATTTACCAGGGCGTCTTCGAGGAGTATGGGAAGCTGTCTGGCCTCAAGCTGAACATCCACCTGGTTCGACCGCGACGAGCTTCGCGCGCGGGTTGCGCGAGCCACCCCGCCCTGCGGCGCCATGCCTATAGAGGACAAGGCCAAATGCCAGGGGGTGTGGCTGGGCCCAGGGAGGGGCGCCCATCCCTGGACTTCTCCACTTCGGGAGTTCCAGGCTCGAGCGCTTCGCTGGGGTGGCGTGGGCGCCGGCATGTTCCAGGCGATGTTGGCGCACCAGGTCTACGTTGCCTCGGCGCTGCTCTTCGTGGCGCAGCTCCTGCCGCTGCCGCCGCCTTTCGCTGCAGAAGAGAAGCGGGCTTGCGCCGCTCTTTTCCGCGGCCCGGCGAACTGGGTCACGGTGGAGGCCCTGAAGGACTTGACCTCGCTGCGCTTCCCCCGGGATTTCCCTGACCTGCAGAGCGCTGCGGCCGCGGCGCGGGCGCGCGTGGCGCGCTTCGAGAACTCCGCCCAGAACGGGCTGAAAATCCGCCGACGCGCGAGGACCCTCCGGAGGTTCTCGCTGCTGCCCGGCAGCCGCGCCCGCGCGGCAGAGCGCGGGGCGCTCATCCAGGACTGCGTCATCTTCCACCTGGAGGCCGCCACTGAGGCTTTGTCGCGGGCTGAGGCGACGCAGCGTGCCTCCCCTTCCCTCCTCGACCTTTCGGCTCCCCATGCCTTGGAAAAGGAGGGCTGGCAGGCTCGCGCGAACCGGTTTTTTTCTAACCGCTGCGCGCCTTTCCGCGGCGGCGCACGTGCGCGCGAAGCTCGATCGTTGGCGCTTGCCCACGCTCCCAGGCCACCGTCCGCGTGCCTGGGCTCATTCCTTCTCTCTGTCTGCTCCTCTCCTCCCTCCTCGCGTCCAGGCGTGCCAGCTGCGCGCGGCCTGGAGCGGCTGGTGCACGGCGCGGCGCTTCCAAGGTGCCGCGGGGTGTATACTGCATTGCACAAGCGGCGAGGATAGCATTGAACACTATGCATCCTGCAATTGTTTGCACAGTTTGTGCCAGAAATACTTGGGCCTCCCGACCCCCGCCGCCGGAGGCGTGCCTGGGGGATGTCTTAGGCGTCCTCCCATGCACCTCTTCCCTTGCGCCCCACCTGCAGACAGGTGCCGCCGTTGCCTCGGCGGCAGCCCCCCTGAGCACTTGGCGTTTACGCGTTGTATAAAGTGCGGCATGGCACTCGTCATGGCCTCCCCCGGGGCGATGTTCCTGACGCCTTCCGCGGTTTTCTCCGCGGGGCCGTCCTGGGACCCCCCCCGTCTCAAAGCTTGCCCCGTTCGGCTTTCAAAAGGCCCAGCATGGGCTCCTAGCGTTTTTGCTGTCTTCCTTCGCCCCCCTCCTTTTTCCCCGGCCGTGGTACTCGTGAGCCTGGTCAGCTCCTCGGTGACACCTTTAAGCTTTAGTCTCTGCGCGCCGCCGGTGGTCGCGCACTCGGGCCTCGCAGGTCATCCAGATTGGAACCGATACGTTCTTGGGGCAACTCGTATCGTCTGCTTCTTCCTTCGCCTCCCTGGTGTCGGAACTGTGTAGACTCTTCCTCTGCGTTTGCACTGCCGTGGCCATGTGGGCGCTTAGACTGCCGAGCAGTCGGGCGATGACCTCCGCGGTCTTCAAGCCAGC